AGACTAATCACATTGGCCAGCTCTGGGTTTGACTGAGAGACCTTGCCTCAATGAATGAGGTGAAATAGTGATTACAGGATGACTCCTGACATCTACCTACATCTTCCACATGCATGCACATACATGTGCACATATCTGTCATATATGTGCCCACAAGCATGCATACACACATGCACATCACATACACACCTAAAAATGGAAAAGGGAAAATAATTAATTAATTAAAAATAGAAGGTCCATCTTCTAACTAACTTTTTGAAACTAGTATGGATATACATGTAAAATCTTTTAAATAGTAGCTAATGTAATTTGACATTGTAGTAAAAATTATATAACAGATAAATGAAATATATTCATTATTTAAAATGAGATTAAATACTTGAAAAATCAGTCAATGTGGTACACAGTTAAGTAAGTCAAAGAAAAATCACATGAACTTGTCCGTTGATTCAGGAAAAACAGTTTATCAAAATGTAATACCTATTCGTGTTTTAAAAGAGAACTCTCAACAAACTAGACAGGCAGATTTCCTAACCGTGATATAGAATCTCTACAAAATTTTACAGCAAACACTATAGCTAGTCTTGAAACAATGCTTTCCTTCTAAGACTCCCATCAAAGCAAGAGTCCTCTCCCAGCACTGCTCTCAGCACAATATTGGCCTTCTAGCCATTGAAATAAAGGAAGAAAAGAAATAAAGGAAGAGAAAAAGCACTCTCTTTTGTAGATGACATTATTGTCTATATAGAAAATCCCAATAACACTGCAAAAGAATTTATGGAACTTTAGTAAATTCAGTCAAGTCACAGGGTACAAGATAAACACAGACAAATCTGTTATATTTCTATTTAGTAATTATTATGTATGAACCAAAAATTAAAATGTTATCTATTTACAATCACTTCAAAATTATGAGAAGCTGTATTAGTTACTTTTCTGTTGCTGTGATAAAACACCACAGCCAAGACAACTTGTAGAAGCAAGAGTTGATTTGGCTTCTGGTTCCAGAGGGATAAGTCCTTCATGATGGGGGAGGTATGGCAGCAGGCAGCCAGAAAGAGCAGAAAGCTGAGAGCTCACATCTTCAAGCACAAGCAGGAAGCAGAGAGAACAAGTGGAAGTGGGGCAAGGCTATGAACTCTCAAAGCCCACCCCCAGATGTACAAATTCATGACCATGCCTCCTAGGGATTCCATAACCCTCCCAAAACAGCACCACTAACTGACCAAGTGTTAAAATAATTGAACCTATGGAAGATATTCTCATTCAAACCACCACAGAAGCTTACTGGTAAACCAAACTAAACTTCTAGAACTTTTATACTGGAAATTATAAAACACTGAAATATCGAAAATCTGAATAAATGGAGAGACAGTGTCATGGGTTAGAAAATTCAGCACAGTTTACACACTGATTTAATTCAATTCCTATCACAGTCTGAGCAAGCATGTTTGCAAATAAAGATAAGATTTTCTAAAATTTATATGGAAATACAAATGAACTAGAATAAAATAATTTTGAGAAAAAGAGAGTGGAGGCAATCACTTTACTAGGTTTCAGGAGACTATTCAGTGACAGATCAATGCAACAGAACACAGTGTGAAGAGAGTAACATAAGTACCATTCAGATCTGTAACCTTGTGTTATAAGCAATTTAATGCTGAAGCAACTGAATATCTACAGGCAGAAAAATGAACTTCATCTTAAACCTCACAACAAAAACTGTCTCAAAATATGGAAATCATTATAGAGGTTCCTTGAAAAACTAAAAATGGACCTACCATATGACCCAGCTGTGCCACTCCTGGCATTTACCCAACAGACTCCAGGGCAGCATGTCATGGAGACACTTGCACATCAATGTTTACTGAAGTACTCTTCACAATAGCTAAACTGTGGAACCAAACTCTGTGCCCATCAATAAAGAACAAATAAAGAAAATGTGGTACGTGAATAATGGAATTAAGTCAGACCCAGAAAGACAAATATTAGACAGTTTCTTTCATTTGTGGATCCTAGATTTTACATACTTATATAAAATTACACATGTACACACAACATGAAAACAGAAGTTTAACCATCACAGGGAACAAAGGGGGCTTAATGGGGGGACAGGGGAGAGAAGGGAGGGCATCAGGGAATGAGAAGCAGAATGTATTCAAAGTACATTATGTAGTTGTATAAAAATGCTTTATGTAACCCAGTGTAATAAAATAAAGACAAAAATGAATAATAAACTTTAATGTTAAGAGTGGCAGAATAAACCCATCGGGGTTTATTTAACACGATTGCACAAAACGTTAGACTTCCTCAAAATGAAAGTTTGAATTTGTAACACACCCTGCTACAAGAATGAAAAGACAAGTCGCATAGTTACAGAAGGAAAAGTCGCAAATCGCATAAAGGACTTGAATCAAATATTTACATTTGCAAAACTCAACTGTAGGAACAACCATAGCAATGCATCTAGAAAATGGGCAAAACGCGTGCAGAGATATTTCACTGAAGAAGGTAAGCGCATGGCAAATAAGGAGAAAAACTGCTCAACAGCCTGGCCCTGAGGGACAGTCACACTAAGATCACAACAAGACACCACAGCACACGGATTGCAAAGCCAGGTGAAGGACAGTGACCGTTCCAAACACTGACAAGAGCAGAGAACTGGATCTCTCATTCATTGATTGTGGAAAAGTAAAATAATACAGTCCTTCTTGTCCTCTCACATAGTCAGGGAGCATGCCCCTCTGAAAACAAACCTTCCAGGGAGAAGAGCCTTAATCTGAGAAGGCTGTAACCAGAGAAAAATCACACCCAGCTCCACCCCAGGACCAGAAGCAGGCTGGCAATTTCTTAAAAACTAAACATACACTTGCCCTATGACCTGACAATGACATTGTTGGGTACTTTCCCCTGAGAAATAAAAATGTCCATCTCAGTGCTGTGCATCAATGTTTGTGGGAGTTTTAGCTGTGGTACCCGAAATCTAAAAGCAGCCCAGATGTCGTTTAGCAGGTGAATGATTAAGGATGAGATACTACTCAACAATAAAAAGGAATTAGTGGTACATGCAATGAATTCGATGGATTTTAAAGGGTTTATGTTGAGTAAAAAAGAGTCTCAGGCACTGGAGAGATGGCTCAGTGGTTAAGAGCACTGGCTGCTCTTGCAGAGGACCTGGGTTCCATTCCCAGCAACCACATGGCAGCCAACAACAGTCCATAACTCCAGTTTTAGAGGATCCAATGCCCTCTTCTGACCTCCAACAGGCATTGCACAGCATGGGTGCACTTACATACATGCAGGCAATATACTCATCCACATAAATATAATTAAATAAATAATTATATATAGAAATAGAAATAAACTGAAAAAGAATCTCAAAAATTTACATTGCTTGAGAGTGGTTACACTGGGTTGGGAGAGTGTGAATATAAAGGGTTTAGCCCAAGGGTGAGGGAACTATATGTCTTCCTTGTGATAATCACTACACCAATCCGTCCACGAAATAAACAGAAGCAATGTTCACATAGAGTGATCATCACTCATATGAAACCCAGAACCCGAAAATATCCAAAACCTGAAAGATTTTAGTCTGGGCATGGTGGCACATGCCTTTAATCCCAGAACTCAGGAGATAGAGGCAGGCAGATCTTTGTGAGATCTAGGCCAGTCTGGTCTACATAGCAAGTTCCAGTCCAGCAGGGTTTATAGGAAAACCCTGTCTCAAGAAACAATAACAAAACCTAAAACAAAACCTAAGTGATTTGGAGTACTGACATTACGTCAAAAATGGAAAATTCCATATCCAACCTCAGGCAATACATTACAAAGTTCAGAAACACTGATACTGGTAAATGGCCTTCACGTTGTGTGGTATACATGACACATGAATGAGTTTTGTGTTTCAGATTTATTTTATTTTATATGTATGTGTGTGAGTCTCTGTGTGTGAGTCTCTCTGTGTGTGTATGGGACAGCAGAGAGCGTCAGATCTCCTGGAGGAAGATTTATAGGTGGTTGTGAGCCACCCTACACGGATGCTGAGAACTGAACTCCAGTTGTCTACAAGAGCAGCAATCACTCTTAACCACTGAGCCATCTCTCCAGTCCAAAGTTTTGTATGTAAACTTGGGTTTCAGCCTCAAAATGTCTCATTATGTATATACAACTATTGCAAAACCACAGATAACTGAAACTCGAAACCCTTTTTGTATTCTTACTATTGAGTTTTGAGCCACATTCCGTCGTTGGATATGTGAGTTAGAAATGAAGTCTCCTGATTTGTAGCATGTCTCCTACCCATCTAATAGGGTCCTGACAGAGCAAGAGGTTTAAAGCGGTAACATCACTGAGGCACCCTCCACTAACATGTGCTTTCGGCATCCTAAGAATGCCTGTCTACCCTCCAGATCCCGCATTCTTCCTTGTATTGTGTTCTAAAAGTTTCAAAATGTTGTGTTTTGTATTTGAGATTAGTAGTTTCTCCATGCTGTCTTTTAATACTTGAATGGGTTTTCCGTTTTATCTTAAATCTGATTCAAAGCGGGTAGGGACGTGGCTCAGTTGGTAAAGTGCTTGCCTAGTATGCATGAAGGCCTGGATTCAATCCTCAGAACCACATAAAGATGAGCACGGTGGCTCAAGCCTGTAATCCCAGCACTTCAGAGGTAGAAGCAGGAGGATCAGGAGTTCAAGGCTATCTTTGGCCTGCCTGGACTACAAGAGACCCTGCCTCCAAAACAACAAATCTAGGGGGCAGGGAAGATGGCTCAGTGGCTTAAGGCAATTGCCACCAAGCCTGATCACCTGGATTCCATCTCTGAGACATAATGCAAAGAGAGGACTGACTCCTGCAGACTGTCCTCTGATCTCTTTCTCACACACACAAAATGAATAAATGTGATAAACTTAAAAATAGCAACAACAAATTAACCCAAGAGAACTTCCTGTCACTTGTCTTAAGAGGTAAAGAAAGGGTTGGTGGCACTCAGCTCACTCACCTCACTCCCAGGAAGGTCCCTAAGGGAGGGTGCCGTGCTGAGGCCCTGTTGACACTGGCCTGTGCTCCTGCTGTCATCTTTCTGGTTTAGTGTTTGGAGAGAAAGTAAAAGGCTTGTCCTGGCCTTGGGCATCTTGGGTCTTTCTGCCGCCTCTGGACATCTGTCCACTTCCCTGTAGCTTCCAAGAGAAACCATGGAGACAGCATTAGTCCTGCCTCGCAGGCAGAGATCAGCCCTCTGTGCCCGAGCCATGGGACTCTGCGGCTTGGGGCTTGTGGGTCTGCAGGGCATGCCTTGGTTTTCATAGGCCAGGCAGCAGGCAGAGCTGCAGGGGAGGGTGCAACTTATGCCAGTCTTCTGGGCTCCAAGGCTGGAGGGGGAGGTCAGCCAGGACGGCTCAGGGAAGGCCCCAGAAGAGGGGTACCCGCTGCCTTCCTGGGCAGTGGTACGTTTTATGGTCGGTTCACTTTTCCTCCTGTGTTCCGGAGAAACAAAACTGCTGGAGGACAGAGCTGCAAGAGGCCGGACAAGAGTCCGGGGCTCTCCACACACACCGCTCTCTGTGTCCACTGCGCACTCTTCACAGTGGCTGCTGGTTGCTGGTGGGGAATTGAAGAGGGCCTCCGGAACTTCCGGGCCTGGAAGCTCACTCACTAAGGAAGGCCTTTTGGAGCCTTCCACGTCCTTGCTTCTCAGAAATGCTCGCCAGGAGCTCTGGCGTTGCTTGTTCTTCTCTTTCTCCCCCTTGACAGAGCCAGCATTCACTTTTTCTACAGCTTTGACCTCAAAAAAACTGGAAAAGGTCTTATGAGCTAAGGCTAGCCTTGCCCTGAGCTTGCTTTCTGTTGGTTTGAGTCTCTTGGCGTTGCAGGTTTCTGGGGAAAGTCCTTTGCTACTAAGGTCCCCTGATGTAATTGCGTGCTCTTCTTGGTTTCCACTGTGGGTCTCAGGAGACAGGTGGTGCACAAGCTGAGGTGGCTCCACCCGTGAGGTCACAGCCCAGGGGCTCTGGGCTCCTTCCTCGGGCCCGGAACAACCCTGGTACAGGCCCTCTGAGGTCAAGGCCTGGTCACTGGACATGCCCCCTGTGTGGCCCTTCACAGGCCAGGGCCTGCCAGTCCTTAAAGGGGTCACCTGGAGAAAGGCAGGACACTGCTCACGCTCCTGTGCATCGTGCTGAAGCCGGCGGCGTGGTCTGGGGAACGTGGCCACCTGGACAGAAGCCAGGACTCCTGCAGCAGAGCCCTGGGGGACCTCACTTGCTGGTGAACCCCAGATTTCTGAGTCCTCCACACCCTCTGGGCCACACAATCCTTTGCATTCCCAGCTGGGAGGCTCCTGGCTCCTCCCTGAGTGGATGTTCCTAGCAGACTCCAGGCACGAGCCCTCCCCAAGCAATTTGTCCTCCAGCGTCTCCTCTGAGCTCAGGGTGTCATCAAAAGCAGCCCTAGAGACCATAACTCTCCCAAGCTCCACACCTTTGGCCTGCAGCTGAGGATCCCAGTCTCCGGCTGCGGGACATGCTAGCTTCTCACACTCGCTGCCACATACTGGCATTTCTGAGGCCCTGGGAGACTCACAAGCCGTGGCATCTGTGCCCTGTGGAGATCTGTATCTTTCCTCCCGCAAGTCACCAGACTGTGACTCTAGAGGACAGCAGGCCTTCCTCGCGGTAGCCTGCTGGCCTTTCTGCTCCACTGGTATAATGATGTGTGTACAACTGGGCCTAGAGGCTCCACGTGCTTTGAGCTCCTGCTGCAGTCCAGCGTTCAAAGGTTCCACACTATCTCCAGTCCCCTGTGCACACTCAGATAACCCGGCCATTGGGGATTCTGAAAGACACTGCAGGGCATTTCCCCTGCGTTTGAGATCTAGAACCGTTGCCTCTTCTGCTGTTTTCCAAGGATCTGTTATGCATGATTTTAGGGTGGTCTCTGGGACATAGGTGCCATCACTCACTTCCCCGCCATCTCCTGGGCTTCTGTCCCACGACAGAGTCTCAGCACAACCACAGCAGCGTGGAGAGCGGGCCCCATTAGATAGCTTTTTCTTCCCACTGGGAATATACTTTGATGTATAAGCCCTGGTCTGGTTTCCTGCCCAGGCAGAAATGTTTTGCAGGCACTTTTGTTTACCGCGGGCAAGAGCAGGGCGGGTACCTCGGAGCTCCTCAGCTCTGCCTTCTGCACTGTGCCCTGGCTTGCATTCAGCTCTCTCAGGCACTTCCTCTTGGCTGCCGAGCTTCAACAATTCTGAAGTAAGGCGGGAAGGGTCTGGGCATGACCTAGAAGCCTGTTCCACCTGGTTTTCCAGTGGGAGACCCACACAGGGTGTGTCCTGAGAGGCCCTTTTAAAGCTACAACCACCTGGCTTGTGCTCACCCTGCAAAGGAGGATGTTTGCTTTGAGAAGCCGGAAGTAAACAAGACCACTGGGTGGGTGCAGGGGTGAGGGTGCTGTGTATTTTTGGATCAGGTGCTATTTCTGTTCCTTCCCTCAAGTAGGACACAAATGTCCCACAGTTGTGCCTCATGAACTCCTTAGGACAACCCAAAGGAAACCCTGATATGGAATGGGCCTTGACCAGAGTCCTCATGGCCCCACAGGGGTGCCTTGGGGGCACCCTTCCATTGCAATCAAGATTTTCTGGAGCACTACAGTGACACTTGGTGTCTAAGTGGCAAGGTGTGCCTGATTGAGGTGGGCAGGCTACATCCAAGCAGGGCAAGTCTATGTCCTGTATAGGGTCTGGGCTGGGACCTCTCTTTGTCCTTATCACTGGTACCTTAGCCCTGCTGTGTATATGTGGCCAGCTCTTTCCTAATTTGCAGTGTTGGAGAAAGCAGGGCCAGGCCGTAGGGATGTCCAGATATCCCCCGGACCTGGCTTTCTGAAGCTGGTAGCTGCTGCCACCAGGGATGCCCTGTGAGAAGTACCTGTCCACTGGTACAGACTCCCTTCCCAAGTTGGTCTCGCAGTCACAGAGTGATTTTTCATCTTCTTTTCCAGCAGTGGCAGCCAAGGTGTGCAAATCATTTTGCGAAGACTTTTCCTTCAAGCTAGGGAACAAGTCTAGCTCTTTCTTTGTATCAAGGGCAAGGACACAGGTCAAATTGTGCTCTTGAGGAAGTCTTGTTGCTGGACCATCAGGGCATTCCCAACTTGCTTCTCTGTCTATAGAGGGGCCATTTCGAGAGAAGCAGAGTCCCCCAGTGGGGTCCTCTGGCAGGGACTCTGTATCAGAGACACTTTCGAAGGGGTCTGTCTTTGTGTCTGATCGACTTTCACTTTGATGAGATAATGTCTCAAAATTGTCAAGGTCTGTTTCCTGAGACCAGTCCTGCTCCTCTGGGTCTGCAGGGGGTGGGCAGGGCTGGCTATCTTCAGGTTCACCTTCACCTGCCTCTGCAGTCTGGAAGGGCAAGAAAAAGAGAATCAGAGGCAAGGCCCCAGGACAGCAGCACGCACATCAACAACATCATGCCTGCCTTTATCAGAAGGAAACACCCATCATTTTTTATGTAGCCCTAGGACAGGCGGGAAGTATAAAGAGCCACCTTGTATTAACACAGAGAAGAAACAGTGAGGGCTAGGGAGATTGCTCAGTGAGTGAAGAGCTTGCCATGCAAGCATCACGACCTGAGTTTGGATCTCTGGAATTCACATAAAAGCCAAGCGCTGTAGCTCACACAAACAAGAGACCCCATCTCAATCAAGGTGGAAAGCGAGCAAGGATAGACACCCAAGGTTGTCCTCTGACTTCCATGTGCACAGTGTGACACATGCATGCTCCTACTCACATGCATGCCCCCACTCATACACACAAACATGAGCATACATGAGCATGCACACATAACATGCACATACACACAAACACACATACACACATGCATACATATACTCATACATACATACACATAACACGTGCACACTTGTACACACAAACACATCACATGGAAAATACTCATACACACTCATATGCATACATACATACACAGTACACACAGGCACACACATACAAATACATACATATGTACCACATACATGCACAAACACATACATACCACACATACACACATTGCACACACATATATACTAGCATATACACACATACCATATATACACAAAATCATACATACATATACTCATGCATGTTCACATGCACACACATATACACACTCTTACACATATGTACACACATACTACACACACATGCACACATATACTCATCTGCACACACCTACACATTTACATACACATTCACATACAGTCACATGCAAACACCCCATCGCCACACACTGCATCACTAACACTCACGTGTACAAACACTCAGACACACATACACAATAGCATTCACTCACATATGCACACACCTACATGCACACTTACAGAGATAGACAGAAAAAGAAAACAAGCAATGAAGCCAAACCCAAACCCCAGGGAGAAAACGTCATACAAGTTAAAACAGCTTCATGAAAAGGCAGATTAGGCCACATGAGCTTGTGCAGCTAAATAAGCCTGAGCATCTCTCTGAGTCACGTTGCAAAGCATACCTCTGTGTGAGGTATCCAGTAAGAAGGAACAAATGAATACACATCCTCCCTGGGTTCTGTTTGTTCTTGTGCAACCCAGTTGCTTATAGTAAATGCTCTTACATTTAGAACTGTTTCTTGAGTTTGATTTGTTAGAAGAAAAAAGAAACCAGAAAACAAAAGAAATCTCAGAAATTAATGAGACTAAAAACATAGACTGTTATACATGCTCAAGGCAGCTTTGAGAACAAGAAGACTGAGAACTTGGCAGAAACTTGGGAGGAATTTTCTTTTCTAGTTATACATTTCTTTGTGTTTGATTCCATGTGTGGGTGGGTGTATGTGTGGGTGTTGTTCCTCAGGCACTTTCCACCTTTTGCCTGAGATGCTGTGATCTCTCTCTGGTCTGGAACCTCACCAAGTAGGCCAGGCTAGCTCTGGTGAGCTGCCCATCTCGCCACTACTGGGCTTGCAGGCACACATCACCACACCTGCTTTTTATATGGGTTCTGGGGATCTGAGCTCAGGTCTCACACCTACGAAGCAGGCATTTTACCAACTGAGCCATTTCCCCAGGCCCGCAGGAGTTGATGATGTAAGAGATTTCTCAATGTAAATTGCTTTTAATTCCCCTTAACTGAGAGAAACATGTGATGTGTAGGATTTTTAACTAAGGGACACAGAAAATCAGGAATCATGTGATAACATGCTTTTAGATGTGTGACAAAGCAGGAAGGAGTTGTGAGTGGGAAAGGGGACATTAAAAGTGACACTACTTGGGGGGCTAGGGAAATGGCTTAGTGGATAAAATGCTTACTGGGAAAAACATGAAGACTTGAGTTCAAATGCCTAGCAACCTTGCAAAGCCAAGCAGGGAAGTGAGTGTCTGTAATCTCAGTGCTCTTACAGCAAGATGGGAGGCAGAGACAGGAGAATCCCTGGACGCTCACCAGCCAGTCAGCCTGGTGCATGCAATAATGAACAGTGAAGACATCCTGCCTTAAACAAGGTGGAAGGTGAGGACTGACACCCAAGGCTGCCCTCTGACCACCACCATAGCACATGTGTGTCCTCACTGATACACAAGTGCACATATACATTCACACATTCATCACAGGCATACACAAAAGTAGATTTAAAAAATATAAAGTGATACCACTTGGAAACAATACTGTGGAGCAATGAGTGTCCAGCAGGAGGGAGAATCTAGGGAGGCTGGCTCTACCAGGAGCTTGTTCTGGTCACCTCTGTCCAATCACGTGTCCTACTGGTAGAGAAGGACTAACAGCCTGATGCTGATGTACTCCCTGGGTCATGTAGGGACAAGGACCAGCACGATACAGATGTGAACAGGCCTTGACATGTACAGAATTGTAGTGGCCATTGTGTTGTCACTAGCGAGAGAGATGGCTTGGTTACCAGCATGCCCCTACTGAATGGCTCCTGCCTTCAAAAGAACCTGAGAACCCCCTGATCATCCTTTCAACATTGATGCAGCTTGATGGCATCCTATGGACACACGCTGGTATCCGTGTTCGTTGCTACAGGTCCAGAGAATTCCAAGTCAAAAAGATCAGCTTTGAGGTCAATGATGAACCACAGTGTCAGAGGGCTGGCACCTGCCTGGTCTCTGTTCAGTATCACCTCCAAGAGAGGGCCTGTAGTCAGAGCAGGGCCTTGGTGGGCTGGCCTGTGGCTCAGGGAGGGTAAAGCTTATGCTTACATTCCAGGTGTTTGGGGAGGAGGCCTGGCTGCATCCCAAGGGAAATAAAAGCCTCCAAGGAGAAAATTATCTAGATAATTCTTCAGATTACAAAAATGGTAAAGTCTGTGCAAGAGCACTGAATATTCCCCGAAGTGTAAAGACACTGAAATATAAAGAGTCTTTTTTTAAAGCATTTGATCAATGAGCAATGAATTCCATTGGCCCTCCCTATTTATGGGTTCAGCAAACTTCAAATGGAAAATATTGTGTGTATGTGCGTTTGTGTGGGTGCCGCTGCACATGCTTGTGGAGGTCAGAGGTCAACCTCAGATGTCTTTCCTCCACCTTTGTTTCATCCACCTTTGTTGCTGTTGTTGTTAAAGGTTTTTATTTATATCATTTTATGTGTATGAGTATTTTGCCTGCATGTATATATATGGGAGCTTCCACATGAGGGCTGATAAACCCCAGTTATCTGCAAGAGCAGTGAGTGTTCTTAACTGCCAAGCCCTCTCTCCAGTCTGTGCCACTCTTTTAAACACAGGGTCACTCATTGGTCTAGTGCTTATTGGCCTCCCCACACGTATGCACACATGCACACACATACAACCTCACACACACACACCTCCATTTATTGCAAGTTGTACAGTTTCCTGCCACATGTGTATTTTCTTGTCATTATCTTCCAGAACTACAGTATAACAACTGCAGAACAGCAGCATCTCATTGTATTAGGTATTTTAAGTCATCTGGAGCTGGTTTATAGTAGATGGGAGGAACTCTGTACGTTATGCAATTTATACAAGGTATTTGAACTTTCAGAGTTTTGTCATCTGTGGAGGTCCTCCATGCCCGAAGACACCAAGGCTGTCATTTTTCCCTCATTTGATTCGGAAGTAATAATTCTCAGCATAATTAAAAGTAAAATTAAATAGAAATAAAATATGAAATATTAATTCTCATGCTAAATCTGAGTTATGACCTGGGGGGATGAGAGGATTGGGCTGGAACTTGCTTTTCACTGTGAGGCTTAGAATGTTCTAGAGGCAGGGAAAGGGTCACCTGTGAGTGGTTTCAGGACCTGGGTTCTCCACCTCTCTTGGGCCATGTCATGTCTCTGTCTGTGGCCTCAAACACAGGTATTTGGCCTTTCTCCTGTAAGAAACACCGAACTCCATTGAGTTTTTGAGGAAGGGTGAGCTGAGGACAGGGTATTAAAGAGGTGAGGGTGGCTGTTGGAAGGAGGCTCCAGCCCTCCCTTCTCCCATCTCAGCTTTTCTTTTCCTCTCGGCAGCTATCACTGGTAACAAATCTCCCTTTACCAGGTGCAGAGTCCCACCACATCTCTTCTCTTCTCCTCTGAACACAACTGATGTTCAATCTCCACATTTCTAATCTCCCACTTCCTCTTTTTTAATATATTCGAAGACACACTATCCCCCTAAACACAGCTTCATTTGCATATCAGTAGGGTTTTTTAGTGTGTATGTGAATGTGTGTGGTGTATGTGCACATGTGGGAGCACGTGTGTCTACATGTGCACATACAGAAGCAGAGGAGGACTTCAGGTGTCATGCTCTATCACTGTCTGCCTTAGTCCCTTGAAACAGGGTCTCTCACTGCACATAGAACTAATCTGGTGGCCAGCAAGCTCCAGGAGTCCTCCTGTCTCTACTCCCCATGCCCCCCCAACACCTGGCTTTTTATGTGGGTGCTTAGGGTTCAAGCTCAGTACCTCATGCCTGAGCATCAAACACTCTTACCCACTGAGCCATCTCCCAGACCCGCATTCTAGTGTTCAAGACGAAGTATTTTGATGATCTTGGCAATTCCAATTTTTTCCTAATTCCCATTATGGCTTCCTGTTTGACCCACAGGTTTATTAGAATATTTTCGTTATCTTTTTTATTTTTTATTTCTATTTAATTATACTATGATCTAAGATGTTGCCTGTATGATACAGACGTTTTGAAATTAGTTGAAATTGGCTCTACAGTGTGGTACAAGGCCTCATTTCATAAATGTGTTTAAAAAAGACTGAATTACGTAATAGCTCACGGCAGCACTTAACTGAGTGCTCAGTAGATGAAGCCTTTTGATTATATTTAAATTGCCAGTAGTCTTACTAGTGTCCCGTCTCCCATGAAGAATGCTGAGTAAAGATTTGGTACTTTC